TAACGCAGTGTAGGCGGAGCCGCGACGTCATCTTCAATGTGTGTCACTACCCGATCTGCAGCCCTGCCCTATCTGCAGTGTGCATGTGCGAGATGGTCCGCCATATGGCAACTCTAATAGGACATTTGACACAGTGGCGTTTGGCAAAGCAGAAAAAGAACACTCAAAAAACCCGACAATATTAATCTGAACGAGAGAGATGAGTTATTGTTATCACAACGTGACTTCACTATTATTGAACAACTCCTTTTATTGGGTCATTTTATTGGGTTACGTACATAGTCAGAATAAGTGAGAAATGGATGTAACTTCTGTTAGACAGCTATCAAACATACTGTAGAAATATTGACTGTGAATGTATGCAATATGTATGGCATTCATAATTTATATCTAATTACATTAACTGTGAATGTCCTTATTTTATCTTCAAATAAAATAACAAAATATTTTAATAAAGATATTTGAGACGTTTATGACTCGCGCATGCACGATGCAAATCGGGCAGCCGTCTAGATGTCAAATGTCCTATTAGAGTTTCCGTATGGAGTTGTCAAATATGGCGGACCATCTCGCACATGCGCACTGCAGATAGGGCAGGGCTGCAGATCGGGTAGTGACAATGTGAACCACAAAACCAACATCAGCCGTTAGCTGTTAGCCCTCAGAGCTCAAAGCGCCTCATATCTGTTCAGAAACTAGACAGAAGTTAAACAAGTACAAACCACAGACTGTCTGTGTCATGGCGAATACAGTCGCTGCTTTATTTATGTCTGTATAGGGCGTTCCGAGCTGAATAAGGGCTTCAAATGAAGGCAAGACGCCCGCCTGGCGGAAACGCTGGAATTAGGAATATATTGTGATGAAGTGCACACTGACCTGAGCTCCAGGGGTCTCTTTCTTCTCCTCCATGCTGCTCATCAGATGTCCTGATGAAGACCACAGAGCTGCTTCATTATTAATATAATACAAATATTTAGATATAATTCATCATAAACTGTCAGCAGTGAAGAGGAGGAATTCAAAGAGTTTATTCAATGATATGTTATATTTCTAGATGCTTATATGTAGTGTTTTATCACACCATGTGCAGTGCCTTGTCTTATCTATGCTGCTGTGACGTAAACATGTTCCAAATTGATCCATTTAGTCAATTTAAAGCTAAGCAGAGGAGAAGATGATAGAAAGGTCAGATAGTTATTAACGTTACATGCAAATTACTTTAACCATTACGATAAAAAGTTGGTTTTCTGTGTAAATTATTATGAATATAATACAAATATTTAGATATAATTCATCATAATCTGTGTAGCAACTTACATTCTAATTTACAGCTCACAGTTTGTTCACTTTTATTTCATTAAAATGACTTTATTCACATATAAAGTGACATTAATGGTTGTTTGAACCACGGTTATAACGCTATCCGTGTGTAACTATCACTAAGTTAACACAGAAAGCAAACATTAGCTAGTCAGACTGTTTAATGTACTCCATGTATACAGTATTTTCTGTATATTGTGTATTCTTTAGATACTCTAGTGATATGTGTCCTGTGTGTATACTTGCTGCTAATGCTTCATTTTTATTATATCTTATTGCATCTTTTAAATATGTTTAACTCGTGTAATGCCTGAAAACACTTCTGCTGTGACACATTCATTTCCCAGTTTAAGATAAATCATTATTTAAATAAAGTATATCTATTTATCTAATGAGCTAAACCGTCGCTTAGCTTAGCGTTAGCTGCTAACTGAAGAACCCCATTCATTTCAATGGGAAAAATGCTACGTCGCAGTGAATGACGATGCTAATAAACTAGTTAGCATACATTTAAAACCATATCTATGGTAAAGAGCACCAACACAACAACTCAAACCGTCTTAAAGACAACTGGTGTAATAAATAACTAACATAAAGTCAGCTGAGCATTACATATCAACTGTTACTCCCCCAGAGCCGAACTGGAATAATAACTGTAAATGTTAGCCGATAGCTTTCAGACTTTAGCTTTTAGACGATAGCTTTTAGACTGTTGCTGTGTTAGCCTTTATTTAAAGATAGTTCGTGATTAACTGTAAGCTAAGATAAATGCACTTAATGAAACCTCTGCATGTGTTTAATCCTCTTCTTTTGTCTTTGTCTTTGTCTTCTTCTTCTTCTTTCGTGTTTATTGGCGGTTGGCAAACCAACTTGTAGGCGCATTACCGCCACCAACTGGACTGGAGTGTGGACAAGAGACTATACAGAAAACAAGAAACAAAACAAACAAAACAAAGAACCAAAACTCTAGATTCTTTTTAAATTGATCAATTTCTCTTAGAAACTTAATAATCTCACAATATATATTGCCTGATGTTTTCCCTAACAGCCCTGATAGCGACAAGTCATGGAATTTGCTTTCTTCAGTGTCTGGAAAAGCACATTTCTCCGAGTACTATATTTCCTGCAAAGCAGTAAAACATGCTCAACAGTTTCTGGCTGGCTGCAGTGTATACACTTTCCGGTTGGATGCTTTCCTATTATACTTAAAGTATGATTGAGACCTGTATTATACTTAAAGTATGATTGAGACCTGTATTATACTTAAAGTATGATTGAGACCTGTATTATACTTAAAGTATGATTGAGACCTGTATTATACTTAAAGTATGATTGAGACCTGTATTATACTTAATGTATGATTGAGACCTGTATTATACTTAAAGTATGATTGAGACCTGTATTATACTTAATGTATGATTGAGACCTGTATTATACTTAAAGTATGATTGAGACCTGTATTATACTTAAAGTATGATTGAGACCTGTATTATACTTAAAGTATGATTGAGACCTGTATTATACTTAAAGTATGATTGAGACCTGTATTATACTTAAAGTATGATTGAGACCTGTATTATACTTAATGTATGATTGAGACCTGTATGACCTATTCTCATCCGAGAAATGACATTTTCCTCCCTTCTTTTAAACCCCACCCTCCTTCCATCCCCCACATACCTTTGAATGTGATAAAGATGTCTTCCTGTATCACTAAGGTCCCAATGATCTTGCCATGTTGTTTGTGCATATTTCTGAATGAATGTTTGAACCTCCGCTTTGCTGAGTGGAACTTCTATGTCTATGTTCATACTTCTGAGTGTTTGTTTGGCCAGAATATCCACCTGTTCATTACCCTCCACACCAACATGAGCAGGAACCCAGATGAAACGAGTTGCTATGCCTTTGATTTGCATTTTATATAAAATTAGAAATATTTCATTTATGATGTCCATTCTAGATGAAGATCTGCCTGATCGTATACTCGATAATGCTGAAAAGCTGTCAGATGCAATTACACTGTTATGTATTTCTTTCTCCTCTATCCATTTCAATGACAGTACCAATGCCAACAACTGTGTGGTGTATACTGACACATGGTCTGTTACCCTTTTCTTTATATGTGTATTACTCACTGGGATATACATTGCTGCCCCTGCACGCCCTGTCTCTGGATCTTTGGAGCCATCTGTAAATATGGTTGTTGAGTCTGAGTGATTCTGGACTATGCGCCATACTGGTAGTTCTTTATTTTCCTTTAACTCCTCTTGTATATTGAGGTCTACACTTGACAATGGGAACAACCAGGGTGGAATGGACGAGATTGGAGCTGTGGGTCAATACCAGTGGTGAGCCGTCAGGGCCCTCTAGGCCCTCTGTGAGGGCCTAAGATATTCTAAAAAATAATATTTGAAAACATTAAAAAAATAAATGTTTATTTTTAATATTTTTTAAAATATTTTTTTGTTGTTACATTTTTCATTAGTTTTATCAAAATAACTTGATTTAATTGTATTTAAAAATAATATTTCAAAGAAATAAATCGTTCAGTTTTTGTTGGAATGTGAAGGGTTAAATGGGTTAAAACTCTGCGAGTTATGTGAAGACGGGAGAGCTTGTTGGTCCCCCTCTACATTCACAGAGGGCCAGCTATAGTAACTCAATGAGAGTGTAATGTCAAATGACAGTACAATTGACCAATAATATCTTCCCTCTAAATGGGCAGGCTTTATTTTCGCGGACTTTATGACAAGTTCCGCCCGCTGTGAAGTCTATGCAAGTGGTGCAGTGACGCATCCTAAAACCCGGAAGTAAGCTTCGCTCGGATTCCCTCGACAGAAAGCAATGGGATTTCTCCATAGGATTTTGGAAAATAGCTCGAAATAAGGTCTGTGGAAAACGAACCTGTTAGATAAATGCACGTTTTGTTCAGCCGGATAATATCCACATGTCTACCCTACTTTTAATATTTTCGAATCATAAATCTAATCGATAGATTTATGATCGATAGACTTATAATTAGCATAAGTTCGTTCATGATGGCTCACTTCAGTGATAGTGATGACATCGTTGCGAAATTATTAACCGAGTCATTTTCAAGATTGAGTGGCAAAGGATCAGCTGAAGCAAGTGCTTCATCCAAAAGGACAGGAGGATGGACTTTGTGTTTGAGTGATTTGATCATCAAAGGTAGGCCTAAGTCATTTTCAATGTGGACCGCCGTGCCGACTTAATTCATTTGTAATTGTTACCAGTGGCGTCCTAAAATCCGGAAGTAAGCTGCTCTCGGTTTCCCTCGACAGAAAGCAATGGGAGTTCTCCATAGGATTTTGGAAAATAAGGTCAGTGGAAAACAAACCTGTTAGATAAATGCAAGTTTTTTTCAGTCGGATAATATCCACATGTCTACCCTACTTTTATTACATTACATTGCATTTAGCTGACGCTTTTATCCAAAGCGACTTAATTTTAATTTTCAGTTCTTCTTTCTCAGCCCGAAGATGTGCCTCCTTAACTGCCAAGGCTTGACTTTGCTTTAGCGAGACAGCCTTGGCTTCCAAAGCTGCACGCTTTACTTCCTACAAGTTGAATCCATATAATGAAATTGTTATTTTATATAAAAAAAAGAAATGTGCTTTTCCAGACACTCAAGAAAGCAACATTCCATGACTTGTCGCTATCAGGGCTGTTAGGGAAAACATCAGGCAATATATAGTGTGAGATTATTAAGTTTCTAATAGAAATTGATCAATTTAAAATAATCTAGAGTTTTGGTTCTTTCTTTTGTTTCTTTTGTTTCTTGTTTTCTGCATAGTCTCTTGTCCACACTCCAGTCCAGTTGGTGGCGGTAATGCGCCTACAAGTTGGTTTGCTAACCGCCAATAAACACGAAAGAAGAAGAAGAAGAAAACGAGAGAAGAAGAAGAAGAAGAAGAAGAAGAAGAAGAAGAAGAAGAAGAAGAAGAAGAAGAAGAAGAAGAAGAAGAAGAAGAAGAAGAAGAAGAAGAAGAAGAAAACGAGAGAAGATGAAGAAGGTGCACCTTTAAAGTTCTTTGCAATCCGCCAAAAACCGAGAGGAGGAGAAGGAGAAAAGAAGAGGTGAGTGTATTTACACCTGTTAGCTTACAGTTAATCACGAATCAGAAGTTATCTTATTTAACACAACAGCTATAATCTTGGAAGAAAGAAACTCACAAAAAAACTTTAAAATGTGCGACAAAAATAGTCTCAAACTATCTTTAAATAAAGGCAAACAGCTACAGTCTGAAAGCTACAGTCTAAAAGCTACAGTCTAACAGCTAATGGCTATCGTCTAACAGCTACAGTTACTATTCCAGTTCGGCTCTGGGGGAGTAACAGTTGATTTGTAATGCTCAGCTGACTTTATGTTAGTTATTTATTACACCAGTTGTGTTTAAGACGGTTTGAGTTGTTGTGTTGGTGCTCTTTACCATAGATATGGTTTTAAATATATGCTAACTAGCTTATTAGCATCGCCATTCACCGCGACGTAGCATTTTTCCCATTGAAATGAATGGGGTTCTTCAGTTAGCAGCTAACGCTAAGCTAAGCGACGGTTTAGCTCATTAGATAAATAGATATACTTTATTTAAATAATGATTTCTCTTAAACTGGGAAATGAATGTGTCACAGCAGAAGTGTTTTCAGGCATTACACGAGTTAAACATATTTAAAAGATGCAATAAGATATAATAAAAATGAAGCATTAGCAGCAAGTATACAAACAGGACACATATCACTAGAGTATCTAAAGAATACACAATATACAGAAAATACTGTATACATGGAGTACATTAAACAGTCTCACTAGCTAATGTTTGCTTTCTGTGTTAACTTAGTGATAGTTACACACGAATAGCTTTATAACCGTGGTTCAAACAACCATTAATGTCAATTTCTATGTGAATAAAGTCATTTTAATGAAATAAAAGTGAACAAACTCTGAGCTGTAAGTTAGAATGTAATTTGCTAAACAGATTATGATGAATTATATCTTAATATTTGTATTATATTAATAATAATTTAAATTTACACAGAAAACCAACTTTTATAGATAAGACAAGGCACTAACGTTAATAACTATCTGACCTTTCTATCATTTTCTCCTCTGCTTAGCATCACATTGACTAAATGGATCAATTTGGAACATGTTTACGTCTCAGCAGCATAGATAAGACAAGGCACTGCACATGGTGTGATAAAACACTACATATAAGCATCTAGAAATATAACATATCATTGAATAAACTCTTTGAATTCCTCCTCTTCACTCCTGACAGTTTATGATGAATTATATCTAAATATTTGTATTATATTAATAATGAAGCAGCTCTGTGGTCTTCATCAGGACAGCTGATGAGCAGCATGGAGCAGAAGAAAGAGACCCCTGGAGCTCAGGTCAGTGTGCACTTCATCACAATATATTCCTAATTCCAGCGTTTCCGCCAGGCGGGCGTCTTGCCTTCGTGTGACGCCCTTATTCAGCTCGGAACGCCCTATACAGACATAAATAAAGCAGCGACTGTATTCGCCATGACACGGACAGTCTGTGGTTTGTACTTGTTTAACTTCTGTCTAGTTTCTGAACAGATATGAGGAGCTGTGATCTCTGAGGGCTAACAGCTAACGGCTGATGTTGGTTTTGTGGTTCACATTGTCACTACCCGATCTGCAGCCCTGCCCTATCTGCAGTGCGCATGTGCGAGATGGTCCGCCATATTTGACAACTCCATACGGCAACTCTAATAGGACATTTGACGTCTAGACGGCTGCCCGATTTGCATCGTGCATGCGCGAGTCATAAACGTCTCAAATATCTTTATTAAAATATTTTGTTATTTTATTTGAAATAAAATGAAGGACATTCACAGTTAATGTAATTAGATATAAATTATGAAAGCCATACATATTGCATACATTCACAGTCAATATTTCTTCAGTATGTATGATAGCTGTCTAACAGAAGTTACATCCATTTCTCACTTATTCTGACAATGTACTTAACCCAATAAAATGGCCCAATAAAAGGAGTTGTTCAATAATAGTGAAGTCACGTTGTAATAACAATAACTCATCTCTCTCTTTCAGATTAATATTGTCGGGTTTTTTGAGTGTTCTTTTTCTGCTTTGCCAAATGATACTGTGTCAAATGTCCTATTAGAGTTGCCGTATGGAGTTGTCAAATATGGCGGACGATCTCGCACATGCGCACTGCAGATAGGGCAGGGCTGCAGATCGGGTAGTGACACACATTGAAGATGACGTCACGGCTCCGCCTACACTGCGTTACTATAGTTACTGTCCCAGTTCCTAAACTGTATTGGAAACGCAGCATAAAGTGAGCCTGGCCTACCAAGGCCTAACTATACCGTACTAAGCCGTGCGAGGCCCTGCAGTGGAAATGCACCATAAGTGGATGTCATTGAAGACTTTTACAAGAGCAGTCTCAGTGCTGTGGTTTGGACGAAAGCCTGACTGGAACACATCCAAACAGTTATTTAAATGCAAGAAATTACTCAACTGTTGAAAAACTACTTTTTCAATGATTTTACCTAGAAATGGGAGGTTTGATATGGACCTGTAATTGTTCATTACTGAAGCATCTAGATTATTCTTTTTTAAGAGCGGTTTAATGACTGCAGTTTTCAGAGCCTGTGGAAACACACCTGAGTGAAGAGACTTGTTTACTATGTGAAGGAGATCTGAGGCCATGCAAGGAAAAACATCTTGGAAAAATCCTGTTGGAATAAAATCAAGGCAGCAGGAGGAGGATTTCAGAAGTTGAATAATGTCCTCTAGGTTTTTATCATTAATCTGATGGAACTGTGTCATGGTGTTTGTATTGATTTTAGGTGGACACAGAGACAACACATCTGCTGTACCTGATGCAGAGGCACTGACTGATTGTCTGATTTTCTGAATGGGGGGGGATACTGACACTGTGGGGTTTGTTAGTTTGTCGACGGTAGCAAACAAGGCACGTCCATCGTTTTAGTTTTTGGTAATGATGTCAGAGAAGAAAGACTGTCGTGCAATTAGTGTTAATTTTGTCAGCTATTTTTTTTATTTAGTTTTAGTCTTAGTCCTGTGTTAAATTTCCTTTTTAGTTTTAGTCATATTCAGCTTTATCCTGTTTTTATTTAGTCAAGTTTTAGTCGACTAAAAGTCTGAGCATTTTAGTCTACTTTTAGTCAAAGAAAACTGTTGAGTCTTTTTTTATCAGATTATATAGAACATTTCAGTCAAACTAGTCTAGCCAAAACCAATAATTTGTAATTTTAGTCAAAAATATTTCACAATAAGATTATATCTTGTCCTTATTTGATGAAAAACACAGGTTGAATGATGAAGTAGCTTTGCAGAGAGTATCTGGTTTGTAGTGTTTTTACCAGCTGTGTTTTGGCCACATTGCTTCCCTTCTGATAAAACAATGCATTCACTTTTTTTCTCCGCCTCATTGTAGCGAAAATGGGCCCAAATATTTATTTCTCCCAAGCAGTGATGGCTTTAGACTTTTTAGTTGTCAGTCATTTTGACGGACAGGATCGTAACATTTCCGTCATAATCCATTATTACCCGTCGAGTGCACAATGTATCACTCTCTCGCGCTGACCGGGGGGTATTCCGTTAACGCGAGTGCGACCACTGCTCCCAAGCCCTGTTGTTGCCATTTCATTTTCTGTTGAATAAGGTTAGTTAGACCATGAGTTAGACCCGAGTCTTCCTGACAGTTCATATTGTGCCGCTGCCCGGTGTAATTCAAATCTACCGTCGCGCGCACCGCAGACAGACAGCTGCTGCCCAGCGCAGCACCGGAAATGGAACTGCTGGGAGAAAATCTGACTATCAGAAATGTAACGTTATCTTTGATAATATTTCGTCTCCTAATTTTTCGTCAACGAAAGTAAAGAGAGATTTTGGCATAGTTTTTATTTAGTAAACTACGTTTTCGTCTCGTCACTTTTCGTCAACGATATCGCATGATGATTTCGTTAGTTATTGTTTACTGCCGTCGGTGCCGTCTCGTCATCGTCTCGTTTTCGTCATGGAAAAAAAGGTCGTTAACGAACATATTTCGTCATAGTTTTAGTGAACGAAATTAACACTACGTGAAATTTACAATTCCAAATGATAAAAGCCAAGTCTCTCTTTATAGATTTCAAAGTGAACCTGGAGATTTGTTTTTCTCCACCTACGTTCAGCTTTTCGACACTCTCTTTTTCCTGTTCTCACGGTCATGGCCTTTCTCCATGGAGATCTTTTCTTCCCAGTCACTTCCTTTACCTTAGTTGGAGCAATGGCATCTATAACATTTTTATTATTGAATTAAAATGATCTACTAGCTCATTTACTGAGATGTTAGCAGGGGCAAGTGTGGAAGAAACATCCTGAGTAAACATTTCCCTAGTGTTTTCAGTTAAATATCGCTTTGTGGTTACCTCTTTTTGAACATTTGTGTGAACAGAAATAGAGCTCTCAAAGGAATGATCAGAGAGTGCAACATCAGTCACCACAACCTCAGATATATTTAGACCCTTTGAGATCATTAAGTCCAGAGTGTGCCCCTTATTGTGCGTGGGCTCCGTCACATGCTGAGTCAGTCCATTGAATTGATTTATTTAAAACAAGGGACAGTGTACATTAATCAACATATTAAAAACATGTAAAAGTACTCGAATTAGCCAAAAGGCTAGTTTTCATCGATAGTCCCTTTGCCAGATGGTGATTGACATCCTAAAAGCAATAATACAAATACCACGACATTGTTATACCATTGTACATATTTACAATAGATCACATCACTCAATACAGATAAGAGCAAGTCATGATAATAAATACAAAGTGTACAATACGCACTCATACACACACCTACACCCACACATCAGTGCTGACACTGTTGATTATTAATGAGCCACTTTTTAACACTGTGCTTGAATGTGTAGTAGGATGAGGACTCTCTTATTGGTTGTGGTATTGAATTCCATTGATGGGATGCGTGGAATGAAAGACAGCCTGGCTGAATGCGCTGTTCCTAAATGGGATGGTGCAGTCTCCCCTAGCCGCACCTCTAGTAGCCCTGGTTGAGGTGGACTTTAGGCTGATGCAGCCAGCCAGAGGAGGAGGAGCCAACCCATGAGTGATCTTATAAACTAAGCAGATGTTTTTGTAAACTATGAGATTTTCCCAGCTGAACAGATTATACTTTTTAACAATGTGACAATGATGATACCGGAATGGCTTTTTGTCTCGTGTTCTGCGTGCTTGTTTATACAGTGATTCCAGTGGCCTTAGAGCTGTAGAGTGAGCATTAGACCAGCTGATCAGACAGTAGTAGATGTGGGAGAGGACCATTGAGTGAAGGTATAGCTTAGCTGCTGCAGATGATAGGAAGTTTCTAATGTATCTATAATTTGACAGATTGAACTTTACTTTATTGCAGACCTTTTTGATATGGGTTTTGAAATTGAGGTTTGTGTCAATATGTACTCCTAAGTACTTGTACTCCGAGACAACCTGTAGTCTCCTTCCAGAAAAGAAAACATCTTGTTCTGTTATAATGCTGTGGCCCTTGGAGAAGAATATACACACTGTCTTTGAGACATTTGGTTGCAAACAATTATTGTTAAGCCAGGATGTAATATTCTCCAACACATCAGTGACCTTGGTAGCAGCCTCTTCTGCGGTTTTTCCATGAGTAAAAACAACTGTATCATCAGCATACATTAATACATCACATTCTCCACACACAGAAGGCGGATCATTTATGTACATACTAAACAGGATTGGGCCCAATACAGAGCCATGCGGTACTCCAGTTGACAAACATTAGACGTATGGGTCTCAATTTGAACACATTGGGAGCGGGATGAAAGATACGAATGAAAGAGGTTGGTGAATTCTATAGAAACATTTAAGTTGAGTATTTTTTGCAATAAGATGTTGTGATTAACAGTGTCAAAAGCTTTCCGTAAGTCAAGGAACAGGGCCCCCACAACCCCACCCCTGTCCATTGATGCCTTAACTTTCTCCACGAAGAAGCATGTCGCTGTTTCTGTTGAGTGATTAGCCCTGAATCCAAATTGCATTGGATGCAGTGGAAAGGAGCTGTTGTTGAGATGATTGATTATTTGTTTGGCAATCAATTTCTCAAATACCTTGGATACTATGGGTAAGATACTGATGGGCCTATAGTTGGATGTCATGAGAGGGTCCCCACCATAGTTATCAAGAACACAAACAGTTCTTTAGCCGCTCTGTCCTGGGGGTTGTCAACATGGATGTTAAAATCACCAACAATGACTAGACGGTCAAAGTCAAAACACACTATAGACAGCAGTTCAGTAAAGTCATCAAAAGAAGCTAAAAGAAGCTAAGAGCACAGCTGAACTCCCGCAGCCCTGGGGGTCCCCTACATTGGTTGTGATGGCAGATGACAGGGTTTGGTCAAGTTGCTCTCTACTGGTGAGGAAAGCGGCATACCAGTATATTAGGTATGGATTTACTTCCATTTTGGCCATTCTTGACACCAAGATGTCTGCTTGTATTGTGTTGCTGCTGAGAAGTCTAGGAAGAGGGCTCTTGCATAGGTGTGACGTTTATCTAAATGTTTAGTGATGATGTGAACCAGAGTAGCAACAGTACCACCCCCTTGCTTATAGGCAAATTGGTATGGATCAAGTATGTCTTGTCCGTCACAATAGGTTTAGCTGAAGAGGTCATTCCTGTCACAGTTCTCATGGTGTCCCACACTTTTTGGGGGTCTTTGGCTTTAAAAGCATTTCCCAAAAGCTCTCTGTGTGTTTTGATTCCCTCAATTTGACTTTCAGTTCTCTCTCTGTCTGTTCAAGTGCTCCATAGTCTTTGTTTTTGAAAGCTATTTTCCTGGTTTTTATAACTTATTGTAATGTCCTTAGTCACATATGATTTATTACTTGGATAGATTTGTATTTCTTTAGTGGGAACACAGAAGTTAATATAGTCTTTGGTAACAGTAGTTATTTCATCTGGTGAACCTTCCTGAAAAATGTCCCAATCTGTCCAATCAAAATAGGCTTTCAACTAGGGCTGAACGATATACCGTGTCATGGCGATAACCGCGATATTCACACCGCAGGGACGTGCGGTTTTATTCATTTAAAAAAAAAAAATGCTAACGCACTTTAGCACAGAATTCAAAATAAAGATACCCTTATTACTTATCGAAACTGCACATATAATGTATCCGATTAAAGCTGAGACTCCACAGATTATTTAAGTATAGTATCTAAGCGATCCGATCTCGCAAACACAGACAACACAACACGTACCTTTTACGGGAGAT